CTTCTTAATTTTTTCAAGGGTGTTAGAATTTTTTTTTAATGCTAAATTATCTTTTTTTTTTACTTCTTATTTTCCTATTCGTTATTCTTTACCCAATATCAATTCTATATTATGAATTTGTCATTTAAATTTTTTAGTGATTCTATATATTAAATTATACTATTCATTTCCTATATTATTTTATATAATCACAACTCACGAGGAAGAACTTGCAGAACAATGATACTTTCGAAAAATCTCTAGAGTTTGGATTTATTGCTTGAGTTACTTTTTCAATTGTTAAACAGTAAGTTCTTTTATGTTTTGATATCATATTACAGATGATTTATCACTTCACACACTGAGATGTATCTATCTTTTGAATGTTTTCATTATTTTTTCTTTTTGAGTTTAGATGTTATTATGTGATTCATTCTTAGTCATTGTTGATATATATTTTTTTTTATATAGTAGATATTGTAATTTAATTAAGATGTTTATGTTATAATCTTATAATTTAATATATATATATCATATAAAATCATTATATGATAATTGAATTACAACATATTTATATTTAATTTTTTTAATAAATTTTACATAATTTCTATTTTTACATATTTTTATTTTCCAAATGAATATAAAAGAAAATTAAATAGTTAAATTACTTCTAATTTTATGTTACTAATTGTTCTTCTAATTTAACAATTATTTTTAATATCAAAATGAGTATTTATTTTACTATTTTATAATTTAATATATATCATACAAAATTATTATATGATAATTATACTTTTATAATGCGATGGAACTAAAATTATTAAAATACACAAATAATTTGACTAAAATTAATATATATGTATTCAAGTAACAATTTTATAGAATGATAGCGCCAATATTATCAAAATAATTAATTAAAATCATACTTTAATTTTAAAATTTTTCTTTTATAGCACACATTGTACCATCAAAATTAAAAAAAAAAAATAGCACGTGCATTGCATGGGTCAACTGCTAGTTGTCTCATAAAGATAGAGAAAAAATAATGAGTTGCACCATTGCATGATTGTAATATTTATAGGATAAGGAGCACGTGAATGACTTGGAGAATGTGTAATGTATAACGGCTAGGATTTTGGGGTAGGAGAAAAAATTTGTTAGAGAAAGAACGCACGAAAGAGTCTTCTTTATCTTTTCTTTTTAAATCATGAATCATGAATTTTTTTTTAAAATTTTTTTTAAACTTAAAAATTCACAAGTTTAGTATGAGAAACAACCAAATCAGTTTATGTAATTTATTTATAGGGAAACAACCAAATCAATTTTCTAAATTAATTATAACAAAACAAAATCAATCAAACAAAATAATTTAAACATATTTGAATTGATTTTTGTTTAATTTATTTTAAGGAATGAAAGATTTTATGTAGAGATTTTAGAAGATAAACAAATAAATTGGAAGTTCAACAAACCGTATTTCTATATTTGATTTTAGGAAATGAATATCTTTTAGGCAATGATCACGGGCTTCAAGATTTTTTTATTTTTTAATTCAAAAATTATGTGAGACATATGAATAATTTTTTATATTTTAAATTGAAAATGATGATATAGTCCGTCCTGAGTGGATGGGTCAGGCTAGCCCAGGTTCTTCAGGTTCCGGTTTCGGGTGGTGATTCCGTCAAATGACCTGCAAGCAAGTCCAAAGGGGAACGGGGCAGTCCCCCAGTGAACCCTCCGGCGAGAGAATTAGTAGAGGAAAATAGGAAAATGTAGGGAAGAAGATGGAGAGATAAAAAGCTTAACCTTTTTCTTGTGCTTCTCTTGTTGCTTATATCCTTTGGTAATCATTTCACTGTCCCTTGTGACGTGCCCCCTTTCCGCCGAAAGCCTGTGCCGTAGCTTACCTTGTTCAGGGTGAGGGGGCTCTATTCCGACGGGGAGGTGTTGTCGTAATAAATGCTGTGATGGGCTGCATTAATGGTGATGTGTTGTGGCAATAACTCTGCAGATCTTTGTCTGCTGATGTGGCCTGTGTCTCATCTGTCATGTGTCCGAATGCCCTTGGCCCTCCACGTCCAGGTGGCCTTCAGTTGTCCTGGGCTTTGCCAACCAAGTTATGCTATGGGTCCAAAGCGATGGGTTCGGGGTGGTTTGCCGTGGGCTGTATGCCTCGTGGGCCTGTCCATGTTAGAAAAAAATAAGAAATTCAGGTTAGGGATGTTGAGGCCTTAGTGTCTTTCTTACTAAAAATCATATTTTACTTATATAATATATAGATATAGACATAGATATGGGATCATCAACGGTTGTCAATGTGGCATATGAGTCGATAAATTAAATTTGATATAAAAATTAATAAGTATAACATTATTGTTCCATAATAAGGTTTGGGATTTTTTTTTTTTTTTGTGAGGTAAATTATAGTACTTTTGGATCTGTTTGGTAACGTTTACGTTTTCAGTTTATATTTACAAAAAATTTATAAACTGATTTTTGTTTATTTTTTGTTTATTTTTAGAAAAACATAGACTACAAACGCGTTTGGTAATTGACAAAATGTTTAAAAAATTTTAAAAATATAAAAAAGAGTGAGAAATGGCAAGTGGGGGCGAAAAACGGTGGTGGAAAGTGGTGACGGTAGGTGGTGGGTAGCTGGTGGTGGTGGCGGGTGGATGGTGGTGGTGGGTCGGTGGGTGACGGTGGCAGGTGGTAGTGAGTGGGAGGTGGTGGCGGCGGGTGGTGGGTGGTGGTGGCAGGTGGGTGGCGGATGGCAGGTGGTGGTGAGTGGCGGGTGGTGGGTAGTGAGTGGCTGGTGGCGGGTGGTTGTGGGTGGTGGTGGTGGTGGGTGGGTTGACGGTGGCGGGTGATGTGGTGGAAAATGGTGGCTATATGTTAATTTTATAGTTTATGCAAATAAGATTATTAATATATATATATATAGTTATCGTTATCGCCGGAACATTACTGCCAAAGAGTTTTGAAGGTTTTGAGGGTGGGTAAGTTTTGAAGGTGAGATTTGGGAAAGATGGATGGGTTGTGATGGAGGTGAGTACTTTCATAAATCCTAATTCATGAAGTAGTGGTGTGTGGGTTTAATTGTGAGATGAGATGTCCCAAAATTAATGATGTCCTTTTTAATAATTTTATTTGAGGTTATTATTGTAATAAAAAAAAGGGCTAAAAATTGAGGAGTCCAAAATAATTCATAGGGTGCTGATAGCAGCACTCTAAACTATATCATTGTATTTGAAAATTTTATATAAAATTTATGTTTGTATATCATCACTCAATAAGAGGGGTGGGTGGTGTGGTGGTGGCGGCGAGTGGGTGGCAGGTGGGTGGTGAGTGGTGGTGGCAGGTGGTGGTGGGTGGTGGGTATTGGGTGGTGGTGGCGGAAGACAGTGGTAGAAAATGGTGGTAGGTGGTGGCTAGTGTTGGGTGATAAAAAAAAAATAAAAACTAAAAACTCAAAACGGAAATATATTTTTTGTATTTTCATTTTTTGGCCAAATTTATAAACTGAAACCATTGATTTATAAATTAAAAATTTTACCAAACAAGTTTTTGTTTGAGTTTTTTAAATTTTTGTAAATATAAAAAGAAAACTGAAAACGTAAGTGTTACCAAACGGCACCTTAACTTTTACAGTTTGTTTCAAATTTTATTTTGGTTCATCTTATTTTAAATTAAATAATTTAATTCTTGCACTTTAAGTTTAGTTTTAATTTAGTTTTTCCATTCAAGTTGAATGTTTAAATTATTTTAAAACACTTGTCAATCTCTTAAAATGTACTTGTATACAAAATTAATAGAAATTTGGATAGAATAACTAAATTAAAATTAGACTTAAAAGTGTATCGATCAAATTGTTTAAATTGAAACAATATAGAGACCAAAATGAAATTTGAGTCAAACTATAGAGGTAAAAACTATAATTTACTCTATTTTCTTTTTTTCTTTTTTTAAGAAATTGTCAAAATTTTGTTTTCAAACGTTTAAAATCATTTTTGGACAAAAATAAAAATGGTGAGTGTTTTCAAATTTAAATATTTATGTTTCTAAAAACACAAAATGGAAAAACAAAGAAAATGCAAATACAATGAAAGCTTCTACTTCATTTTTCTTCTCTCTCTTATTCTTATGAAGTCTTAGATCCAAATACATCATAAGATAATTCACTAAAATAATTTTTGGTTGGAATGACTATTCTTTGATTTACCAATGGAATGTTCATTATTTAAATCGATTAATGATGATCTAATTTTCAACGTAATTATTTTCTTTTTTTATTGAATCAAATGCATTCTATTCCTGTTTATAGTTTTAAGTAACGGTGTGAAATATACCGATATCAATAATACAATTATACATTAGTCAATGTCTGATAATATCAATTGATATATCAATAAATAAATAAAATCAATGTGTTTGGTTTGAATTTTTTAAATTAAATTTTTTGAAAATTGAATTTTTAGTTTTCGTGTTTTTTTTTTTTAGTGAATATTTTTAAAGTTTTAAACATTTTTTTTTTACTTTTTTAGATGCACCTTACTTAGATGTATCTAAAAAGTAAAAAATTTGTGAAAAAACTAAAAAGTAAAAAAATTATGAAAAAATATTTTAAAAAATTAATAAATACATAAAAATATAAAAAAATGTACTGAATTCTTGTATTTTTGGTATTTAATGAATTTTTAAATGGTTTTTTTCACAATTTTTTTACTTTTTAGGTATATTTATGTTAGGTATATCTAAAAAGTACAAAAAAAAATTGCTTAAAATATTAAAAAAATTCTATAAAAACAAAAAAATACAAAAAATAAGAAAGTAAAATTTTCTGAAAAGTGTTTTTGGAAAACTCTAAAATCCCAATACATAAAATAAGCAATACCATGCTGCATAATTCAAAAGCAATTGAACATTTACCTTAAATCTTGAAGTTGACTGACCGTTGCATGCTCTACTCTTAAAAAATAAAAGCAAAAAAATGAAAATGACAGTTTTTGTAGCCTTCCATAGCATTATATGCTCTACCTCTTCTTCAAAATGACAGTATATCTTCCAGAGACCCTAAAAACAAGCACACGCACACATACACAGAGTTGAAGAAAATGAGTTGGGTGATATTAGCAAGGATTTTGATTCTCAGTGGGATGCTTCTATGCATTGTTCAAGGCCATGCACCTCCTTACTACACTTTTATAGTTGAGTTTTTTTCCCCTGCCTATACATACATACATACATGTAGTTCATCTTAAGCCAATTGTGCATTGTTGCCTCATACATATATATATACACACACTACATATATAGTTATATGCATGTGTTATGAACATTCCTCCTATATATAGTTTTTAAATAATGGTATCTATCAATAATAGTAATACAGTGTTGATCAAAGATAAAATATAAAAATTAGTGATACATTCATACATATATCACTCAATATCAAACAATATCAATCGATATATCGGTGAATAATAGTATAAAAAAACTAGATATTTAAAATCATGGTTGACTTATATTTTAAATAAAATTATTGTCATATCTTTATTATATGAGATCTTTTATAAATTTTTTATGTAGATTGTTTTTTTTCAATTGATAAAATAAAAATTTTATTGATGTAAAAAGGAATACAAGAAGTACAATACAATTACATTAAACAACCACTAATAAAAGAGTAAATCCCAACTAAGTTGGAACAAATACTCAAGCCAAACACAACCAAACCAAAACCACACAATGACCAACACAACCAAGGTCTTGTTAACAAGTGTTATCCACAGAATGACCAGCACAACCAAGATTTTTTATATTATTTTTTATTGGCAAAAGAAATGAGAAAATTTATTGATGAAAAAAGTATACAAGCATATGGAAATTACATCAATAAAGAGGAGGAAGTGCAAAGAGTATCATAATATAACCAACCGATCCCAACTAAATTGACACCGAGAATCATATGCAATCATATATTAGCACAAACCACAGAAGTTGGTTAGGAACCAACAAGGGAGAGAAAAAAAAAGAACAAAAAAACCAAAAAACAAAACAAAAACAAAAACAGAACAGAACAGGCCACTGCACAACCACCTAGCCAGCAACAGTGCTCCCCACCCAGCCCAAACAACACACACACACACACAAAAAAAAAAACAGCATTCTACTTGCCTTGAATGTCCAAAACAGCACCTGATCTGTTGCAACTGACGCACAAAATCATTAACAGAGAAAAGCTCCCAATAGATTGGGCTTTTAACCAAAGAGCCACCCTAATCTTTATAAGTTCACACAATTGTCCATAGTTTGGCTGCACCTCATTAAACAGACAGTCATTTCTATAATTCCACAAGGACCATAAGGTGGCCATGGGAATTGCCCTCCATATTTGCTCTACTTTTATTGGGATATTCATTAAAAAAAAATTATATATTCTTATAAAAATGAATCGTTGAAAGTACTCATTAATAAAATTCTTGATTTGTTTTTTACTTCTTTTTTTTTATTTTTTATTTTTATTTTTATTGAGCCCAATCAAAGTGACTGTGTGAAGTCATATTCCTAGGACCTTAATTCCCCACCAAATCTAGACCTTCTTGCGTCTGCACCATGGGAAGCTGGTTTGGTATGCATACCCAAAATTAATGGGATTTGTTCTATCAACTACTTTGTTCTGTTCTCTAAAGAAAGCCCTTTTTCTTTTGCTTTTTTTTTTCGTAAGTGTTAAGTATTCAAAAAAATATTTAGAAATTATCTTAAATATTGGTATGGTGTGGCTTACACCTAATATTATTTAGTAAAATGATGTACAAATAAAAAAATTACGAGTTTGGGTTTCAGTTGAAGGAAATCAGTATTACCAGACTGTGTCTTACCAAGAACATCATGACCGTGAATGGAAGTTTTCCAGGGCCAGTGTTGCGCGTCCACAGGGGTGATACAGTGTATGTGAATGTTTACAATCAAGGTGATTATGGAGTCACCTTGCACTGGTTAGTAAAATGCTTCCCCCCTCTGCCTATTTGGTTTTGTTTTGTTTGTTTGTTTGTTTGTTGTTTTATATATTTATATATATATATATATGTGTGATTTTATCTGTTTCTTAGGTGCTGAAATAATTTTGAAAAAGGAAAAAAAAATTGTGATGTGTTCTTTTTTTTGAACAAATTTCTGTTTTTTAAAAATATAATTTATAAAATAGATTTTGAATATAAAACTAAACAGAAAACATCCCTAGTTAATGGAATTTTAATCATAAAGAACTAATAATGTACACTCGTATCATCAAGATTTCTAAAATTTTGTACTTGCCAATCGAGGGTATTGTTTTGCAAAGAGGACTCATATGTACACTGAATGAATTTTGTTGAATTTTTTTTTATTTTTTTTTCACATCTTAAATAACATATGAATATGTAAGATTCACTATAATAAAAAGATAAAGAAAATATTATTCTCACTCCATTTATTTATAAATATACTCCAAAAAAATTTATTATTTAGTGTGCATGGAATCATATAATTTTGGACACTAAAGACAATTTAGACCAAATTAACATATATATATATATATATATACATATAAAAAGTGGAGTATAAATAACAATCATCAAAAATAATAGTGGCTTATACATTATTTTTTTAAATATGTTGATTTTACATGTATCGTGTGCATCTATAGAAGGTGAAAAAATGGGTGAAATTTTAGAGCCGTGATTCCAACTCCCAGTACGGAGGCACCCCTAGCACCCCCACCTCCACGTGGGGGGCTGGCAATGGAGGAAAAGAAGAAAAAAAAAAAAAACAAAAGTTTTTGACCAATGGGAAGAGACTCCACAGCACCTTCATTGGGGTCCAACTCATTTTCGGAAATTTTAATGACATATATGTTTTAGTTGCACATATTTTTTTCAAGAAAAATTTATTTTACTCAGGGCTGGTCCTGAGTTTCCAGGGGCCTAAGGCGAAATAATTTTTTGGAGCCTTTTTAGATATTTATAAAAATAAAATAAAAATCACTCTGTTTGGTTTAGAGTTTTCAAAATTAGTTGCCTAAGTTTGCAATTTGTATTTTTTTATATTTTTTGTATTTGGGAACTTCTTTTTTTTTTAAAAAAAAAACACAAATATTATAGTTTTTTAGCGTATCTAAATTAGATATATCTACAAAATAAATAAATAAAAATTGTGTAAAATATTTTTTAAAAAAAAATACTAAAAAATGCATAATTGGGTCATAAAGAGAGAAAAAAAAATAGGCCACACAAAATTAGGCTAATAACTAATACATATATACATATATATATATATATATTTTATTTTTTATTTTTTTAATTGGACTAACAACTAACACTTAGAAATATTTTCTAATTGGGCCTTTTATCAATTGGGCTAAATAGAATTTTTGAGGCCCCCTTTAAAATTGCCTCAATTAATTAAACATAATTGAGTCATTTTAAGTTTTTAATATAGTGCAAGACTAATAAATTATGGCCATTTTTTTTGGCCTAATTTTCAAGACCCTAGGCACAGGCCTCACCAGTCTTAGCCGAGGGCTGGCCCTAATTTTACTCCTTTGTAGTTTGAAGTTGGAGTACTTTACCCCTATGTTTCATATCAAAGTGCAATCGTTAATATTGTTAATTATAGATGCAAAATGACTGTAATACCCTCAAATCCTATGTCATTTTTGTTATTGTCTTTCTTTCTTCTCTCTTATACACATAATTTATAATGTCTAATAATTCAATTAAATAACAATTCATTATAAATTCTTAATTATTTATTGTAATTCTTAATTTTATATTCTAATCTTAATTTCATTATATTTTAGATAAAAATTAATTTTAAATATTTAGTTATTTATTGTAATTCTTAACTTTGTAATACAATTTTAATTTAATTTCATTTTAGATCACAATTTAGCCTAAATTATTAATTATTTATTGTAATTCCTAACATGTTAATCTAATTTTAATTAATTATATTTTAGGAAATTTTTTTATCATTATTTATTTTACAATTTTATTTAATTATATTTTAAATCAATCCTTAATTACATTTTATATTTTATTATCAATTCTTAATTATATTTTAATTAGCATATTAATCTAATTGTAGGTTCAGAGAAAATGAGTGTAAAATTGTCTTTTTGTTATATTAATTTCACTTTATTTTTTCAGAAAATCAACTCACTCTAAAAAATAGGATGTGATATACATTTTGTTAATTTGGATAGAAAAACTAATGATGACACTTTAATGAAGGAAAAATAAATTTAACCTCTTTTTTTTTTCATCCATCTTTGATGTGGCTACAATTTACCAAGGTGAATGCATTGCCTGAACTTTTCTGCAATTTATTATTTTTATTTTTGTATTATTAGTATGTTTGATGTGCATATGATGAAAATAGGGGATTATTATATAATGAAAGTTGTAGATTATATGCATTGTGTGAACTTTTCTGCAATTTATTATTTTTATTTTTATAATATTAGTATGATGTTCATATGATGAAAATAGGAAATTATTATATAATGAAAGATGTAGATTATATTTACCTTACAGGCATGGAGTTAGAAATCTTAGAAATCCATGGTCAGATGGTCCAGAATACATTACACAATGTGCAATTCCACCTGGTTCAAACATGACATACGAGGTCATATTTTCTTTAGAAGAAGGAACTCTTTGGTGGCATGCCCATAGTGACTGGACTCGAGCCACCGTCCATGGTGCCATCGTTGTTTCCTCTCCATTTGGGATTGCTCAACCATTTCCTAAGCCAGATGTGGAAGAGATCATAATACTTGGTATGCAAAATTACATTTGATAAACCAATTGAGTAAGCAAATCTTGCTTTATTGATTACAATAATTTTGAATAGCAGTATTAGAAAATATATACAATCATATATAGACTGATATAAGACAATATAACAAATTTCGATATCAAAAGTCTAATTTCCAATACGTATTGAATGATATTAAAAATGTTGGTTAGTTATCCATTTGAATGCTCAACTATCATTTGCTTCTTTCATTGACAGCATCATGGTTCAAGCAAGATGTGAATCAGATGGTTGACTACAGCTTGCAAAACGGACAAGATTTTAACCTGTCAAATGCTTTCTCCATTAATGGTCAACTTGGGGATTTTTATCCATGCTCCAATGGTACATTTTTAATAATATACCCGTAACAATACAAACATAATTTATTTATTTTATTTTGTGGATAAATAAGACTCAGGAAAAATACGAGTCTTACAATTTTATTGTAATTAACTCATCTCTCTTCTAATAATATAATTGACTTATCTCTTTTTCTGTGTCAAGTTTAAGAATTAACTTACTGTTTTACCTTTTTATTAGTCAAAAGATAACAAAATTAACCAAGTTAATTAAGTAGTCTATCAAAAACAATTGTCAGGGTAAACAAGTAATTTTGTCTCATCCAATACTTCTTCTTTTTAAAAAAAAAAAATTGTTAAAAATAACTAGTATACCTAACATGTTAATCTAATTTTAATTAATTATATTTTAGGAAATTTTTTTATCATTATTTATTTTACAATTTTATTTAATTATATTTTAAATCAATCCTTAATTACATTTTATATTTTATTATCAATTCTTAATTATATTTTAATTAGCATATTAATCTAATTTTAGGTTCAGAGAAAATGAGTGTAAAATTGTCTTTTTGTTATATTAATTTCACTTTATTTTTTCAGAAAATCAACTCACTCTAAAAAATAGGATGTGATATACATTTTGTTAATTTGGATAGAAAAACTAATGATGACACTTTAATGAAGGAAAAATAAATTTAACCTCTTTTTTTTTTCATCCATCTTTGATGTGGCTACAATTTACCAAGGTGAATGCATTGCCTGAACTTTTCTGCAATTTATTATTTTTATTTTTGTATTATTAGTATGTTTGATGTGCATATGATGAAAATAGGGGATTATTATATAATGAAAGTTGTAGATTATATGCATTGTGTGAACTTTTCTGCAATTTATTATTTTTATTTTTGTAATATTAGTATGATGTTCATATGATGAAAATAGGAAATTATTATATAATGAAAGATGTAGATTATATTTACCTTACAGGCATGGAGTTAGAAATCTTAGAAATCCATGGTCAGATGGTACAGAATACATTACACAATGTGCAATTCCACCTGGTTCAAACATGACATATGAGGTCATATTTTCTTTAGAAGAAGGAACTCTTTGGTGGCATGCCCATAGTGACTGGACTCGAGCCACCGTCCATGGCGCCATCGTTGTTTCCTCTCCATTTGGGATTGCTCAACCATTTCCTAAGCCAGATGAGGAAGAGATCATAATACTTGGTATGCAAAATTACATTTGATAAACCAATTGAGTAAGCAAATATTGTTTTATTGATTACAATAATTTTGAATAACAGTATTAGAAAATATATACAGTCATATATAGACTGATATAAAACAATATAACAAATTTCGATATCAAAAGTCTAATTTCCAATAAGTATTAAATGATATTACACTACAAGAATTAACACTTTTGGCAACAAAAAAATTGGTCGCTAAAAGTCTATTTTTGGTCGGTAAAAGTTATCCGCGACCAAATTTTTTAGTCGCTACTTTAGTCGCCAATTGAGGGTCGGCAAAAGTAATTCGCGACCAAAATTTTGGTTGGTCGGCAAAAGTCAGATTTGCCGACTAAATTTTTGGTCGCGAAATATATCATTATCGCGACTAATTCATTTAGTCGCTAAAACACTTTGGTCGCGAAAAGTGATATTTTCCCGACCAAAAAGTTTGGTCGCCAATTATCACATTCAACGACCAAAAAGTTTGGTCGCCAATTGTGACATTCCGCGACCAAAAATTTTGGTCGCCAATCGTGACATTCCGCGACCAAAAAGTTTGGTCGCCAATTGTGACATTCCGCGACCAAAAATTTTGGTCACCAATCGTAACATTCCGCGACCAAAAAGTTTGGTCGCCAATTGTGACATTCCACGACCAAAAAAGGTTTTGGTCGCCATTTGTTACTTTTCGCGACCAAAACTTTTAGTCGGCAAAAGTGAGTTTCCACGACCAAGAGCTATTTTGGTCGGCAATAGATGTATTTTTTGCGACCAAAACTCTTGGTCGGCAATTGTCATTTTTTGCGAAAAAAAATTATTTATTTGTCACGACTAATAAATTGATCGCCAAAGCAGAAAAACAATACACTTGTAATTCCTAATAATTTATTCAATCCATAATAAACCTATAATTTTAAAGCATCACTCAAATTAACTGAATCATTAACATTCGACACAATACATAATTCATTAGCATTCGATTTATTAAATTTCTGTCAAACAACCAGACATTGTTCCAATTCAAACTGAAACAACCAGACATCCCCACCATGGTGTTCCACCAGACATTGTTCACACAAAATAATGACAACCAAAGAATCCAACAACACCTTTCTAAACTGTCAAACAACCTACTTCCAAAATTTCTTAAATTTCCCAAAACACTAGTGTACATTATATACATCCTATTTATAGAACTACGTTCCAATTCAAACTGAAGCACCCTAGTTTTAGCAAGAACAAAAAGAAACAATTCTACGAGTAAATAATATGTGGAAGCTTTGACTAAAACAAGAACTATGTGTCAGAAACTTCGAGGACATTGTGGACGCCAATAGGGTTCACACCTGGCCGGAAAGCATTTCCTTCAATATACCTATGGCATGATGTTCAGATAAAGAAAGCACAATCACAAAAGATAAGTAATTGACTAAACCCGATACCTCCACATGCAAAGGCATGTATATCACCATAGGAAACTTCAAACTGAAAAAAAGTCACTAGAAGAAAAATATTCTAAGTGAATGCTCATGTAAGAGAAAAAGAATTATAGGAAAAGATTATAAGAATTATAGGAACATGAATTATAGGAAACTTCAAACTGAAAAAAAGTCACTAGAAGAAAAATATTCTAAGTGAATGCTCATGTAAGAGAAAAAGAATTATAGGAAAAGATTATAAGAATTATAGGAACATGAATTATAGGAAACTTCAAACTGAAAAAAAGTCACTAGAAGAAAAATATTCTAAGTGAATGCTCATGTAAGAGAAAAAGAATTATAGGAAAAGATTATAAGAATTATAGGAACATGAATTATAGGAAACTTCAAACTGAAAAAAAGTCACTAGAAGAAAAATATTCTAAGTGAATGCTCATGTAAGAGAAAAAGAATTATAGGAAAAGATTATAAGAATTATAGGAACATGAATTATAGGAAACTTCAAACTGAAAAAAAGTCACTAGAAGAAAAATATTCTAAGTGAATGCTCATGTAAGAGAAAAAGAATTATAGGAAAAGATTATAAGAATTATAGGAACATGAATTATAGGAAACTTCAAACTGAAAAAAAGTCACTAGAAGAAAAATATTCTAAGTGAATGCTCATGTAAGAGAAAAAGAATTATAGGAAAAGATTATAAGAATTATAGGAACATGAATTATAGGAAACTTCAAACTGAAAAAAAGTCACTAGAAGAAAAATATTCTAAGTGAATGCTCATGTAAGAGAAAAAGAATTATAGGAAAAGATTATAAGAATTATAGGAACATGAATTATAGGAAACTTCAAACTGAAAAAAAGTCACTAGAAGAAAAATATTCTAAGTGAATGCTCATGTAAGAGAAAAAGAATTATAGGAAAAGATTATAAGAATTATAGGAACATGAATTATAGGAAACTTCAAACTGAAAAAAAGTCACTAGAAGAAAAATATTCTAAGTGAATGCTCATGTAAGAGAAAAAGAATTATAGGAAAAGATTATAAGAATTATAGGAACATGAATTATAGGAAACTTCAAACTGAAAAAAAGTCACTAGAAGAAAAATATTCTAAGTGAATGCTCATGTAAGAGAAAAAGAATTATAGGAAAAGATTATAAGAATTATAGGAACATGAATTATAGGAAACTTCAAACTGAAAAAAAGTCACTAGAAGAAAAATATTCTAAGTGAATGCTCATGTAAGAGAAAAAGAATTATAGGAACACATTCTTCATGTGATGTCAACTGTTTTGCCAAAGTCCAGCGCAGTAATTTAATTAGAGCAATGTTAGAAATGTAGAAAACTAAACATAGACTTTCTGCTTTTGTGAGACATTTGTAAATTTGTGAGATATTTTTGTGTTTATTATGTGTTTGATTCTCTATGTATTTAGACTTTCTTATTTTATTGGGTACTTGAATAAGGTCTAAAGATCAATGATATAAATGCACAAACATAGATCATATTAGGATTAACTACACTCAATGGTACATAAAAGTACGTGCTTTGTTAACAGGCATGTCACTACAAGAACGAAAAACAATGAGATTGAAATTAGGATAGGGCCACCAATGAGTCCATATCCAGGAAAATCCATTGCCAACACTGTATACTCAATTCAAAAAATTTAATGGGTATTCACAGCTAGCATCTTATTATGATTTTAATTGGGTATGTGATAGAAATACTCACAATATCTCCAAAGTCTGCAGTAGTCCTAGCGTTGAAGGAATCTTGCCACTGAGTTCATTGTTATTAAAAACCCTGCTCAAATTAATTCACAAAATTAATTAAAGCCAGTCAAGGCTATATAGCTTACAAGCTATTCACAAAATTAAAGCCATTTCTTATTTTTGGGATGGTGATAACAAATTCTATTCTAAATTAAAGTGTGATCTTTGGGAGTGTGATTAAAAAGGGTCTTTTAATCACATCTTTTAAGTGTCATTAAAAAATGATTTCATCACATCTTTTAAGTGTGATTAAAAACATCAAAAAATGAGTTACGTAGATAGAAGATAAGAAAATGACAAAGGAAAGCAAAAAAATAATTGAAAATTATAGTACTAAAGTACGCCATCTCGTATAAAGAGAAAAAAAGCTAGAGGGGGAAACAAAGCAAACTGAAGGCAAAACCACATCATCCCACCAAAAAATAATGATTAGTGCGACTCAAGATATTGACTTTTGCGGTATCTGTTCATCAAGAGACAAAGGGAACTCTAATCACATGGCATGCAAAAGACATCACAAATACATGGAACTTGAGGCACGCAAGAGCATGAGGTGCAGTGTAGTAAGAAACTAACCTAAAAATTTCCATCTCCATGAACCATAAACTCCACCAGCTCATATAACTGCAATCTGAAGAAGAATAGACATCTCCAGCATCAAAAACTATATATATGAAATAAAAATCCCACAGATATATATGTATGTATCATAAACACTCACAGATATATATGTATGTATCATAAACACATAAATGTGTGCGCGCTAGCGTGCATGCAAACAGAGAGAGAGAGAGAGAGAGAGAGGGGGGGGGAACTAGCCTTCCGTAGCCTCTTTACGAGCAATATTAGCCTTCATCAGGTCTGCTGCAGCTTCAGCTGCTTCAATGCCAGCAGCACCAGTACAATAGCTGTTTCGAATAAACTGTTTACAACACTTGTAACCCCACTGATGATCCTTCCACCATGAACCCCAAACGCTTGTATGGTTGTTGATGTAAACATCTTCTTCATACTTGCTTTTGGGAAGGGCTTGCTCCTGAAAATAGTGTAAATCAAAGCATGTTAACTACGATAGTAATTCTACAAATAAAAAGAACAACATATGGGGGTTCATGGTCGAAGTCACGTGGTTGTGTGATGTTACTTCCAATTGTTTCAATATGTTTCAGAGATAAACAAGCTTATTAGTCCATCAAAGCTATATAGGAGATAGCGTATGGAGTCAATTGTTCACGTTAACTGCAACTCGACATACACGTTTCTTTAAAACAAGTTCGCTTTTTAATTTGATGATTTATTGGTGGTTTTCAATCATGTATTTGTTCTGTTATTCATAATGCAAATATGCCAATGCAAAACCATAGTTTTTTTTTTTTTTAAAAAATATTTTATAATGGATAATAAGACTCAATCCATGTACCCACAAGACCACAAAAATTTTCACATGCAAAATAATTAGGTAAACACTAAATGCACTCCCCCAAAAAACCAAGTGGGTAATTTGGAGCCCCAATAGCACACTCCAATAATTTATGACATCCCTACAAAAAAAAGTTATTGAAAACTATTAAGTTCAGATAAACACAACTAGCATAGATTGTTATTCACATTTACCTGGCCTTTAATAATCCTACCGGCGTGATCATATTCCACTTCTCTCTCACTTTGCCCAAGTAAAAGCTCTCTTGGAAGTTGTTCTTCAGAAGCTGCATTCCCATATTTCTCCATAATGGTCTCCTTCACTTGAGATTTCAATTTCTCCTTATTGACCTTATAATTCTTGTAAAGCAATTCAGCTTGGGACGGAGCAGCTTGCATGTGAACATCGTGCCCCTTCTCAAATGCTTCCCAAGCATGGATGTTGAGCTGCTTGAACTCCAAAGCTTCACCACTAATTCTGTTTTGATTATCTCCCTATTAATGAAAAGAAACAAACAATTATGTATGTGACCAGTACATAAAACAACACCATGCAATTGAACCATAAACCCATTGATACAAATGTTTTACACTTTTGAGTATACTCACAACATAAAATTTCTCGTTTGGATCCATATCTGGAAGAGGATCCTCTCGCATGGAACGGGTTTTGGGATCATAATGGGCAGAGTTTACATCAAGATTAAGAAGGTATTTTGCGGTATCCTCCCGAATACGCAGGTTCCTGACAGGAAAAAGAAAAAAAATAAATTTTAGTAAGTGAAATGATATCCAACCAAAAAATTGAGAAAACAATTTCCACATCACAAAACCAACAAGCATGCATACAGGGTATACCTGTCACCTGTTCAACAATGAAACCCCTCAACCCCAAAAACAAAACAAAAAACATGCATACAGGGTATATCTCCAGTAAAGGTTGCTGGAGTTGCTGGCACTTATATATAAATTATTAGAGCATATATATATATATATATATATAATTAACTTCTGTTTAATGCAAATCAATCGATCATCGTTCGATTAACTTCTATTTAATCGATCGATCGTCTAGAGAGAGAGAGAGAGAGACCTCACTGTAGATCGATCGTCGTTCAATGCAAATCGATCGCCGTTCAGAAGTGTAGATCGTCGGTCAGAGGTTCAGTGTGTAGATCGTCGCTCATCACTGTGTAGATCGTCGGATGTGTTGGGTTCACTGTGTAGATCGTCGGATGGTAGGGTAAAGAGACAGAGAGAGAGGCGTAAGGAAAGGGGCCTGAGGTAGGGTAAAGAGACAGAGAGAGAGGCGTAAGGAAAGGGGCCTGAGGTAGGGTAAAGAGACAGAGAGAGAGGCGTAAGGAAAGGGGCCTGAGGTAGGGTAAAGAGACAGAGAGAGAGGCGTAAGGAAAGGGGCCTGAGGTAGGGTAAAGAGACAGAGAGAGAGGCGTAAGGAGAGGCGTAGATCGTCTGATGGTTCACTGTGTTTGGTTCTCTGCGCGTGTGTTGTTGGGTTTGTTTGTTGGGTCTGTCAAGAAATTAGGGCAAAATCTAAAGAAAAGGGGCCTGAGGTATGAGGCGTAAGGAAAATTTGAAAAAAAAATATATATATATATATTTGCCCCCTCTATCTTCCAAATTTTCCTCCAAATTTTTGGCGACCAAACTTTCAGATTAGTCGCAAAAACAGGTTATTTCGCCGACAAATTATTTTAGTCGCCAAATCTCAATCAACGCCGACTAAAATATTAGTCGCTAAAAGTAGTAATTTGGCGACTACTTTTTTTTTGTTGCTGAAAATAAATTTTTCGCGACCAAATTTTTGGTCGCCAAAAAATATGTGACCTTCCGCGACTAAATTTGTAGTTGGTTGGCAAAAGTATACCATTTTCTGCGACCAACATATTTTTTGGTCGCCAAAATATAACCTTCTGCGACCAATAATATTTGGTCGCCAAAAATAATGATCATTCGCGACTAATTAATATTTAGTCGCCAAATGTCATTTTTTTACGACCAAAATTTTTTTGGTCGGCAAAAGTGGTCGCAAAATGTGTAAATTCTTGTAGTGTTAAAAATGTTTGTTAGTTATCCATTTGAATGCTCAACTATTATTTGCTTCTTTCATTGACAGCATCATGGTTCAAGGAAGATGTGAATCAGATGGTTGCCTACAGCTTGCAAAACGGACAAGATTTTAACCGGTCAAATGCTTTCTCCATTAATGGTCAACTTGGGGATTTTTATCCATGCTCCAATGGTACATTTTTAATAATATACCAGCAACAATACAAACATAATTTATTTATTTTATTTTGTGGATAACTAAGACTCAGGAAAAATACGAGTCTTACAATTTTGTTGTAATTAACTCATCTCTCTTCTAATAATATAATTCACTTATCTTTTTTTTTGTGTCAAGTTGAAGAATTAACTTACTGTTTTACCTTTTTATTTGTCAAAAGATAACAAAATTAACCAAGTTAATTAAGTAGTCTATCAAAAACAATTGTCAGGGTAAACAAGTAATTTTGTCTCATCCAATACTTCTTCTTTTTAAAAAAAAAAAATTGTTAAAAATAACTAGTATATGGGTAAATTCAAATTATATTAAATAAAACAGTATTGCAAGTAGAAATTTGTGTTTCTAATATTCCTAATAAATGCTTCACATGTTGCAGGAACAACATACCGACTACTAGTTGATTATGGCAAGACCTATCTTCTTCGTATAATTAACGCAGCAACAAACCAACAATTTTTTTTCGCAATTGCTCAACACAATCTCACAGTTGTCGCCTCGGATGGAGCTTATATCAAACCAATACCAACTAGTTACATCATGATAAGCCCAGGACAAACAATGGATGTTTTAATCACAACAAACCAATCTCCTAGCTACTATTATATGGCTTCTAGAGCATATTTTAGTTCCGATAGCAATAAATTTGATCACACCACTGCCACAGCAATTCTACAGTATAAAGGCAATTACACAGCACCATCCTATCCTTCATTTCCAACAATCTTTCCAGGCTTTCACGACAATGATGCTGCCAATAATTTCACTTTGCAATTTAGGAGCCTAGCAAGCTCGGACTACCCTGCAAACGTCCCTATAAATGTCAGTCAGAGGATGTATGTAACGGTTTCTGTGAACCGATTTCATCCTCCACAAGGTTCATCGTCACACGAGGAATACTGGCTTGGGTCTAGCTTGAACAACCTAACTTTTGTGTATCCTCATACAGATATACTACTAGCTTATTTCGGGTATGTATATATATTCATACCAAGTAAAATGCTGTGATCATATAGTTTAAGGACATTATTTTTATAAATCTTACAAACACTGAAACTATGCTTTCAATAAATAAATAAATAAAACTAAAAAAAAATTGAAAAGTATAAAAGATAAAAAAAAGTGTACATTAAAGATGCTTAAAATAGGATTCCTAAATTCACCGACAATGTGATAGAGAATTGAGTCTTAGATGATTGATTTTTAAAACAATCAATAAATGACATGGGCTGTCCACATTAGTGCTGAAAATTTTGGAGTCTCGTTTTATGGATCTTAAATTTTTCTCATAATAAATTCCTTTGACCCCAGTTATTTATTTTTATTTTTATTTTTTTGGGTTCTAGCAAACTAGACGAAATCAATTTTGTTTACTTTGATTCTAAAAAAAATAAATAAATTGAAGTTTTTTTTTTTTTTTTTGAAAAATGTCAACTAAATTTGTTTTAGTTTTCAGTGAACCTTTTCAAAATATATATTTTACTTTAAAAAAAAAAAAAACATTTTTAGGGTCATCTAATCTTATACAAATCTAAAAAATAAATATTTAAGAATTGAAAAAAATTACATTACATCCTGTTTGGCAATGTCGTAAATAACCACTTTTTAGTTATTCACCAAAAATAATAATAATTACCCCGTTTGGCAATAATTAATGTAGCTAACAAAAGGGAATGAAGCATTTTCGTGCTATCAAAAAACTTTACCACTTGTCAAATGCATTTGTCTTATGTAAAAAAAAAAAAGTAAAAAATAAAAACTATTAAAAAAAATATATTTCAAACCTTGCCTAAATACTGAGAAAAAAAGCCAAAAATTCAAGCTGAGAAATGTTGTTATGTTTGCACTCAAATTGACATTTTTTTTTTATTCTCTCTAACTTCCTTTTAACAGGAACTTGAGTGGGATCTACAACACGAATTTCCCAAACGAACCGCCAGTTTTCTTCAATTTCACAGGGGATGGGACAGTTTTAAGCGCAGATGAATATGCAATACCGGGGAAAGCGACAGAGGTGAAGGTGTTGAATTACAATGAAACTGTAGAGATAGTATTTCAAGACACTAATGTTTTGGATACTTCAATGAATCATCCCATCCACCTCCATGGTTACAGCTTCTATGTGGTGGGAACTGGTTATGGGAATTTCAACAATGAGACTGATCCAGATTCTTATAACTTGGTTGATCCACCTTTGGTTAATACCTTTGGAGTCCCCAAAGATGGTTGGCTTGCTATCAGATTTGTAGCAGATAACCCTGGTAAGTTTGCTTTATTTATAACATTGTGTGTCACTGGCATAAGCATGGCTTGGAACCTAGTTTGTAGATGCAGAATACGTGCAACAAAAATTACTATGAGGCTCTATTTGATTTGATGAAAAATATGAAATGGGTTAACTACACTTAGCATTTTTTGTACTTTCACTATAATCTCATTTTGGTCCTCGCTTTCAATCTTCACTTTTAACTGTGGCAGTAACCTTTTTATATTTTAATTTAAATTGCAATGTCATTCTATCTGTCTAGCATTAATGATGTTGACGAAAATGAAAAATGAATGAACCAAAGTAAAATTTTCGTGAAAGTGTAAGGACTACAATGAGATTTCATTGAAAGTGTTCGTTGCCATTGACAATGAGATGGAAAAAAATGTCATGGTTAGCTTACATGATAAGTTTTGTCAACCTTATTAATGGTAGATAGATAGAAAGGTGTCATTGCATCATGATTTAAAGTGTAATAGATTGACAGAAACAAAATTGAGATTATAGTGAAAGTACAAGGGTGCTAAGTTGCCACACCCCAAATTTATAGAGTCCGACCCATAAATAATAAACATAAATAATAAAGGAAAAGACAATAATAAATATAATCAAAAGGGATTCTCTCGTATTATATTAATATCATTCAATACATGAGATTCTCCAATTGCATATGTTTTCTTTCCAACATCTAGATGGAGTTAACATATAGTATGTAATTCAAAAGTAACAACATCATATATGTAAATAAATTTCCCTTAGACTTTTTTTTTTTTTTTTTTTGGGCAAAGAAAATTTTATTAAAAAAGGAAGAGATTACAAGAAGATCCAATAAGAATTGCATCATAGCTAAAAAATATATCCCAACTAGATTGACACCTGTTTTGGAGCCCAATCATGTGCATACCAAGTTTGAAAAAAATCAAAAAGTTGGTGAGAGCCCAACTGATACAAACACAAATTCAATACACAAGAAAAAAGAAGAGATCAATTCGACTGACCAATCCTTGCAAAAATGACACTCGGCCTACAAAAAAGGACCAAGGCCTACAAGTCAAAAGAAATCTCTCTCTCCTCTCATGCACATATCTTATGTCATGCCTCAAAGTTAGGATACACCATCAACACTTGAAAAGATTTCAGCCATGTAGGGCGAACATATAGTCTACTAGGATAATCTTTCATAAAATAAGATTTCTCTATTGTACATGATCATGATGCTATATATTTGTACGGGGAGGAAATAATTCTCCTCGTATAATCCTGTTGATATCCATTCCAATAACCAAAATCAAATATTCTCTTTAAATTAACATTTCTCAATTTCATTACTATTGATTCGGTGTATCCTCTTAAGTGTATGTATCGACCAATAGTCATCACTAAGTACCACCTAATCTAGTGAGCTATCTGAAACAACACTCTTCTTGTGACCATCACTAAGCGTCATCTAAATATCACCAAATTTACCGATTTATAATTGGAATGACCTTGGCACCTATACTGTGCGGGTTGTTGGTCTTTCACGATAATTTGTTGAACAAATTATCTCATCCTCAACTATACATGACCCAGATTTACCACTCTATTCAATTAAAGCCAAAATGTTTTAACGTAATCAATACAACATATGCAAAAATTCAATTCTTATAAAATATGCTCCATACACCTTTGTTTCAATGACAGATTTTTACTTGTATAAATTCAACAATTTAACAATACAACGAATATGGGTTTTTGTCAACCTATTGTATCAATGTCTATAACAATACCATTTTTCACCAATGGCCAATACAATTATCTCTAACAATTATATAATTCTATAAGTTATACTCATTTATCTTCAATTTTAATATAACATCATTAATTCAAACTAGCACCATTAATTTTAATATAACACTATCAATTTATCATTTTGTACAATATCAGAAATTAGGATTTTTCACAAATTCAGGTTTTCTCATTTTTAAATACCATTATGCAATTTTATACAATGAAAATAAGTTTAGTAAGAAAATTATAGAGAAGTACTCAATTCATCTCAAACCCTAATCCTCTATCATGCAATTTCTCAAACTTCCATTAAATAACAACAGTTGTGTATAAAAATATCCATAAACCCATGTTAAGCCAATGAAAGGGAACCCTACCTCTTGGAGAGAGGATGAGAAGAAATAAAATGAAAAAGTTAAAGAAACGAAGATTGGCTTGGACCAAATCGAAGCCTTCATCGTGCTCTACAATTTTAAAACTCAAACTTTTGAACAGTTCCCACTCTAAAGTAGCTAATCTAAGTTTTTGTGTGATAAATGTGTTGGGTGAAATATAAAGAGAGAAGGAGAGAAGAGAGAAAGATATAAAGAGAAATGAGAGAGAGAGAGATTGAAGAAAGCTGAATAAATGAGCTCCAGCCGAGAAGACGATCGATCGCCTTTAAAGAGCAATCAATTGCTCCTCAAGGGATCAATCCCCTTTCGATCATTGCGTTTTGCTGAAGATTTTAAAAATAAATTTGTGAAGCGATCTATTGCCCACTCTAATGTGATCGATCCTTAAGCCCATAAATTTTATGGTTTGTTCTGCACCAATCCACATGTGCAAGACTTTCGGTCGAACGTGCAATTTCACTTGTTGTAGTGCTAATTCTCAAGAAGGTTTTCCACACCTAAAACTCAAATATTAAAAACGACACAAGCTAAATAGGAATTTGTATTGGCTTAATCATACAACCAGAATACAATTCATCAAATCAAAAGTTCACTAGTGTATCGGGGCATGCATATAAGTTTGCTTAAGCCAAGTTTAAGACTTAGGACGCTACATAAGTATAATTAACAGATATAAAATTAAAGTGTTAATGGTGGTGGTGGTAAAGGTAGTAATAGTGGTGGCATTAATAAGAGTTTAGTCTATAAAACGTTTGGGATTAATACATTGTTGGTCTCTTTAGTTTGAGTGAAGTTTTACTTTAATTATTATAGTTTCAATTTGAATATTTTGAACCATACAGTTTCAGTTTTCTTATAATGAAGTCTCCCTATCACTTATTATTAGAATTTTAAATAGAAAAAAACCATATGCAAAATTAGAGCGACCAAAATGGAATTTCAAAAGAAATTCTAGGTTTGCATGTAGCCTTTTATTGTTCAAAGTATTAACTATATATAAAAAAAGGATAATATTGTAATAAAATTGAAAGTACGAAGTTCAAATTAAAACTATAAAGACTAAAGTAACACTTTGCTTAAACTACGGAAAATAAAGGTGCAATTTGCTCAAACATTTTCCATCTTTAAAATATGGAGAACATCATCTGTCTAAATAAATTTATTTTTCGTTGACCACATAAAAAAAAATTTCCGTTCAACTTTTGTTTTTCACGGTAGCTTCATCCCATGTTTCCATTGAACAACTTGGACCTATTGTGTGAAATTTCATTGACATGTGTGTGTTAGAACATATGTATTTATAATGTACAGTACATAACTTGGATCATTTTTTTGGGTAGGTGTATGGTTCTTGCACTGTCATATGGAGCGACACACTACTTGGGGCATGGTTACTGCTCTGATTGTGAAGAATGGTGACACCCCTGGGTTGAATGGAGTTAAGTTGATGAAGATCATTGGTGATATGATCAGAAGCAGCTGAGTCCAAAAACCAGGGAGAACAAGAATCATTGTCCTCAGTTAAAGAGGTAACATATGCCTTTGATTGCTGAGACTGATATGGCTGAGAGTGAGACTGATATGGCTTTGATTGCTGGGATGGAGACACTTGTGAAGACTGAAATTGAGTATCTAGTCTATGCCAACAGTCAAGAGCTATGTGATTAGCTTTACCACAGATTTGGCACACAATGCCAAATTGTCCTCTTCCTTGAGATCTGCCACGAGATGATCTTCCTGAATAGAATCGAGTGCCTCTCTGAGCACCTCTAGAATCACTACGAGAAGAACCTCCTCTGTTGTGATGATAAGAGGTAAATCCTCTAGAAATATTAGAAGCTGCATGAGAGTCTGTCACAGTTGCAAAAGCAACAGTGAGATCAGAACTATGTTTTAATTTGCCTTCAATGTGAACAGCTTCGGAACAAAGTAGAGCAGAGAGATCCTCCAAGCTTCGTGTTGGTCTTCCCCCTCTCAGCTTGCGGGGGCCTGATAAGGAAGAGGTCCAAGAGGTTCATTCAGAGGTTCATTCAGTGTAATGTAATTCATTCAGTGTAATGTAATATGCTGTTAGTTAGTTTGTAACTGAATTAGTTACTGTGTAACAGCTTTAGTTAGTCCCTTAGTTACCTGATGTGTAGTTAGTTAGAGGTGAGGTTAGGTTAATTAGTTTGTTAGTTTGTTATCTGGACAGGTATATAACTATGACTTGTATTTTCTTATTTGTTTAATAAGAAGAGATTACAGTTTTACTTTACCTTTCATCAATCGAAGCCTTCATCGTGCTCTACAATTTTAAAACTCAAACTTTTGAACAGTTCCCACTCTAAAGTAGCTAATCTAAGTTTTTGTGTGGTAAATGTGTTGGGTGAAATATAAAGAGAGAAGGAGAGAAGAGAGAAAGAGATAAAGAGAAATGAGAGAGAGAGAGATTGAAGAAGGCTGAATAAATGAGCTCCAGCCGAGAAGACGATCGATCGCCTTTAAAGAGCAATCAATTGCTCCTCAAGGGATCAATCCCCTTTCGATCATTGCGTTTTGCTGAAGATTTTAAAAATAAATTTGTGAAGCGATCTATTGCCCACTCTAATGTGATCGATCCTTAAGCCCATAAATTTTATGGTTTGTTCTGCACCAATCCACATGTGCAAGACTTTCGGTCGAACGTGCAATTTCACTTGTTGTAGTGCTAATTCTCAAGAAGGTTTTCCACACCTAAAACTCAAATATTAAAAACGACACAAGCTAAATAGGAATTTGTATTGGCTTAATCATACAACCAGAATACAATTCATCAAATCAAAAGTTCACTAGTGTATCGGGGCATGCATATAAGTTTGCTTAAGCCAAGTTTAAGACTTAGGACGCTACATAAGTATAATTAACAGATATAAAATTAAAGTGTTAATGGTGGTGGTGGTAAAGGTAGTAATAGTGGTGGCATTAATAAGAGTTTAGTCTATAAAACGTTTGGGATTAATACATTGTTGGTCTCTTTAGTTTGAGTGAAGTTTTACTTTAATTATTATAGTTTCAATTTGAATATTTTGAACCATACAGTTTCAGTTTTCTTATAATGAAGTCTCCCTATCACTTATTATTAGAATTTTAAATAGAAAAAAACCATATGCAAAATTAGAGCGACCAAAATGGAATTTCAAAAGAAATTCTAGGTTTGCATGTAGCCTTTTATTGTTCAAAGTATTAACTATATATAAAAAAAGGATAATATTGTAATAAAATTGAAAGTACGAAGTTCAAATTAAAACTATAAAGACTAAAGTAACACTTTGCTTAAACTACGGAAAATAAAGGTGCAATTTGCTCAAACATTTTCCATCTTTAAAATATGGAGAACATCATCTGTCTAAATAAATTTATTTTTCGTTGACCACATAAAAAAAAATTTCCGTTCAACTTTTGTTTTTCACGGTAGCTTCATCCCATGTTTCCATTGAACAACTTGGACCTATTGTGTGAAATTTCATTGACATGTGTGTGTTAGAACATATGTATTTATAATGTACAGTACATAACTTGGATCATTTTTTTGGGTAGGTGTATGGTTCTTGCACTGTCATATGGAGCGACACACTACTTGGGGCATGGTTACTGCTCTGATTGTGAAGAATGGTGACACCCCTGAAACAAGCATGCTCGATCCACCGGCTTACATGCCTACCTGTACAGTTCCACCATCTCCCTCTGGCCAGCTTCATGAATCGGATGTTTCAAATCATGGAATAACAGATGAAATAAGAGGACAAGCAACAGTAAATATAGTGCAGACCCAACCTTCCTAATTATTACTACCTTATTGATGGAGGAGTTGCTTGTGTTCTTGAGTCTTGATTATTTTGTGTCATGGATTTGTTGTAATGATGTGGAAAAAGTAGCTGAAGAGTTTCCAGAACAAGTGAATTGATGAAAGTCAAAGATAAGGTCAAATTGATGACCAAGGGTAAATTTGTAATTTCAATGGATGAACTCAGATTTGTTTCAATTGCAAAGATTAGCAACAACTTGAGGGTCTTTTAGTTTTGCAAAAATTAATTGGAGTTTGTCAATATCAACAAGCAGCTTGCAAATATTTTTACCAAAGCAATGTCATTAAAAAAAATTAGAATAGTTCAAAATTTCTTATGTTTTTCAAATTAAATGGGACCCTTTTTTTTTCAAGCAAAAATAAACTTTATTGATGAAGAAAGCAAGATACATGCGAAAACTTACATACAACAAAGAAGAAAAGTGCAAATAGCATCATAACTAGCCTTACCAATCCCAACTAGATTGGCACCGATAAAAAAAAAACTAGGTTGGCACCGATAAGGTAATACAGTCTAGTGCTGTAATATTAATTTCTAATATTGTGCAATAAGTCTAGTGCTGCAATATTGTGCAACTATATGAATCAAATTGTATGTGCCTGTGGGTTGTGTTAATTGTCAACATTCAAAGATGGTAGTCTTGATGGGGTGCTAAACATTAAGACTCAGTTTGTTTTATAAATTTGGGAAAAACTTTTTTTAAAAAAAAGTGTGTGAAATATATGTAAAACATAACTACAGAATATAACTTAGATTCCTATATAAAATTATTACTTAAAAGAAACGTTTTCATAAATGAAAAAATTGCAAATTCAGAGGCCCAAATGATGAACATGGTGAGTCATTATGCTCCCGGGACATTTCTGTTAGAAATTTAAGAGAGAAAAAGAGAGTTGGAAAGTGAGAATTCTCTATTGATATCATTGCAATTGTGAAACAACTATGGGTGCCTTATATTCCACCTATATTTTACGGACTTTTTTTTATATAAATCTCTTCTTAAATTCATAAGCCATACACAGTCTAGCATATGTTTTCCTTAGTAAAATAAAGTAGAAAGCTCACATTTTTCTTGTTGTGTAGTGGATTTTGTTCTCATTCTCCACTGTGGACGTAAGCATCTAGTTGAACTATGTATTGTATTCATGTGAGCTTGTTTTTTATATTGATAATCTCGGCCTTTTACCTACTATTTCATTTTAGTTCATATACTTTTAATTGACTTAATTTTGACCATTAATTTCAAAGTTTGCGTCAATTTGGTTTTATTGATAACTTCGTTAGTATTTTTGACAAAAAATTATCACTGAATTAGTTATGATTAATTAACCAACTTGAGTAAATTTATAATTTTATCCTTAAAAATATGACAGTTATCACTTATGTGCATATTTTCCATTAAAAATGCTAATAGTTATAATTAATTAGATTAAATTGAAACAAAATTATAAATTCATGATCAAAATTGAGCGAATTAAAATTACATAAAATAAAATGATACAAGAACTAAAATACAGGACTACCAATGTAATTTGTCATTTATTTTACTGTTTATTGTGTGATTAATATTAAAAGTACCTTTGATACCACATTGAAAATACAAGAATTTAGTTGGGTCTAGAAACTCATAATGATTTCTAGATACTAGCAGAACATGGTGAGCACTAACATTGAATAAAATACAAATTAAATATGCGTATAGACACAAGACTTGTGAAGGTATGTATGTATGACGTAAATCTCGTACAAAGCTCATAAGGTGACACAAGATATCTTAGTGAAAATTCTGTTTTTTTTATACAAATCTTCTCCAACATTGATTCATCCAGACTATCAAACATTAAGGTCTGATTTGGCATATATAAAAAAAAGTTAAAAAATTAAAAAGACATTAAAAAAATTAAAAAGTCCACGCTATTCACCAATACTTTTGGCTAGAAATTTGTCGGTGTGAAAAAAAAAAAAATATTACAAGTCAATCATGATGTGCAGCCCTAGTTTGCAGCACAATTTCCCATGAAGAGTGAAAACGTGACACGTTTGTGAGTCACATTTGCTTCAACAAAAAATTAAAAAGAGAGAGAAAGTGTTACTGATAGTGCTGCTGACAGTGTCAGTATAGTCTAAAAAAATAAAAAATACATTTATTTAAGACATTCTAAACAATCCATAAATATCATACAATACTTTAACAAAAACATTCATCAAGACACTTTGAATCTAACCAAATAACTCTTCCAACTTTTAGACTCTAATACATAAACTCAACATTTTAATATATCTAACTTAAAATTAAATTAACTCCAATAATTGAAGACACAATTTTGCATAACGAACAAAGCAGTCCACCAAATGAAGGGGCATTTGCCAAAGCCAAAATAGGCCATCAAAAGTTTCATCTCTGCTTTTAAGTTTTTCATATCTATCTTCTTCTGTTTTTTTCTCATTTTGAGTTTTAAAAGTGTTGACACTATCAATGTTACGCACAAATTGACCCACAGAAAAGATACCTTTGTTCAAAATGTCCTGTTTTATATATTATACCTTTCCTTATTAAAAATCATTTTTCACAATGATGAAATTAAGAAAAAATTATGGAGGGCTATGGTCTTCTATTTTTGTGAAAAATATTATTTGTTATAAAAAAAATTTATAAAATATATATATATATATATCATTTTATGCATAAAATGAAACCCCTAGTATAAAAATATATATCTCATTCTTCTTTCATCTTGCATTCTCTTTTTATTTTGTACAAAAAAAACTTTTTTTTCCTATTAAAAATTATTTATGAGAGGATAGTTTATAAGTAAATTGGGCCGAGCTGAGTAATGAGCCGTTCGATGGGCCACGGTAGAAAAGGGCTTGACAAGTGGACTGTAGTAAGTAGCACGGTCCAAGTGGAATGACAGTTACCACGATCGGAGTGGAGTTAGCTCGGTCATAGTGTTTGAAGCCAAGGTATGTGTAAACACCTCATTTTTGGCCGCCTCCAAGACTTGAACGCGACTGATGGTTTTGGAAGTTGGGCAGTGCAAAGGTTTAATTTCTTCGGCAAGGAGAGAGAGTCGAATCTCAACTTCATACCCCTTTTTCGGACCAAAACAATCTTGATCAAAAGATCTTAGACTTGAAACCCTCTCTTTCAAAACGTTTTGAAAAT